GCTTTGGGTCACGGTTCTGATTTCCCACAATGCTTTGTGTCTGCCTACGTAGCAGGAAGCCAACAGCAAAAACAGTTAATGTTTGTAATCATACTAAAATTTTGTATGTATTGATTTATTTTACTTTACAATCGGAGCTCCTTTTTAAAAAAATAAAGTTTAAACGCTGGAGCTCAATACTTGACGTAAGTGGTCGAAGGAGCAATCGGCCAACGTTGGTAGAGACTCAGAAATGACTTAAAGATGATATGCTGATGAAGACTGACATCTAGTGGTCAACTGGCACAACTACATGGAAAACTTTAAAATCCAAGCTCTTATTTTGAAGGGAAGATAGTTTCCTGTACTCCGTGCTTTCGTTTCCCGTCACAAATCGAATCCGTCATGTACCCAGAATGCATCACTTCAATTTTCCAATAAACAGTTTTAAAATTACTTTATTGATGCTTYTTTAATGAAAAATCTACAACAAACAAAAGAAAAAGACAAAGAAGCAGCCGAACTAGCAATCCTCAACAACTWTTTAATTTTTACACCAGGAGCTAAAGGTCTGTTTCAGGAAATCACATACCCAGCAATTGGCGCTTGTAGAATTAAGTTACAAAAGAATTAATGCACCGCTACTTGGCAGTGTTGTGCATATATTGTACATGAATTGTTGTCAACTACTTAGTGTCAAATTGAACTTGCGCTTTAAAATTAGTTTCTGCTAATATTTCTATGACATAAGCACTTTTGAAGTTGCGGACCTAAATATTTTCATAAGTGCTTTAGAAATTGTGGAGCTAATTTTTGGATTAGTGCAGCCCACCACTGGAGTTTAGGTTAGTCTTAGGGTAAATGGTCAGGTTTTGGTTTTTAAAATTACCAGAAAGTGAATGGAAGTCAATCCACGGTCCCCATGGGGATACAAAAACAAACCTGTGTGTGTGTACACCAGTTTCTGTTACAGACTAAGAACCATTTTAGGATTTTAACCAAATAAGTAACATTTTTAATTAAGTTTTGGTTAAATTAGTGTTAGGTATAGACTAGCAATGGTTAGTGTTACGGAAAATGTCTGGGTTAGGCAAAAATGCAGTAATGAAAATGAATGGTAGTCAATAAAAAGTCCTCAGTTTGATGCAAGTATAATCATGTGCATGTGTGTACCTGGTTTTTGTTACCTCTTTAGCACCTTTTCTAGCAAAAACACCTTCTTTACCAGGACTAGACTCTTAGGGATCAAAGGCCATTCAGAATATGGCAGAACAGCATTTTTGGGTTAGGGGTTAGTAGGGTGGGTCAGGGTTAGGTACTGTAAAGGTGCTTTATTTGTCATCAGTGCATGTTTCCATGAGATTTATGCTCTGCGTTTGACCCATCACACATGAAAAACACCCAAGTGGAGCAGCGGGCAGTTATGTAAGCACCCGAGGAGCAGTTGGAGGTTGGGTGACTTGCTCAAGGACACCACGGCATGTATGCATGGCGGGGAGTTGAACCTATGACTGTCTGGTCCCAAGTCGGCTGCTCTACCACTACACCACAGCCGTCCTGTGTGTGTGTGTGTGTGTGTGTGTGTGTGTGTGTGTGTGTGTGTG